TTTGCCCCCCCCCCCCCCCCCTCGTTTTGACACTGTCGAAGCTGCTGCTGCTGCTGTCACTGCTGCTGCGGCTCATGTCTGAACATCTTGTAACGTGGTTCTTTCTCAACGAGCCTTTGAGACAGATAGGGTGTTCTTCCTCAACGAGCCCTTGAGACAGATAGGGTCTTCTTTCTCAACGAGCCTTTGAGACAAATAGGGTGTTCTTTCTCAACGAGCCTTTGAGACAAATAGGGTGTTCTTTCTCAACGAGCCTTTGAGACAAATAGGGTGTTCTTCCTCAACGAGCCTTTGAGACAGATAGGGTGTTCTTCCTCAACGAGCCCTTGAGACAGATAGGGTCTTCTTTCTCAACGAGCCTTTGAGACAAATAGGGTGTTCTTCCTCAACGAGCCCTTGAGACAGATAGGGTCTTCTTTCTCAACGAGCCTTTGAGACAAATAGGGTGTTCTTCCTCAACGAGCCCTTGAGACAGATAGGGTCTTCTTTCTCAACGAGCCTTTGAGACAAATAGGGTGTTCTTCCTCAACGAGCCCTTGAGACAGATAGGGTCTTCTTTCTCAACGAGCCTTTGAGACAAATAGGGTGTTCTTCCTCAACGAGCCCTTGAGACAGATAGGGTCTTCTTTCTCAACGAGCCTTTGAGACAAATAGGGTGTTCTTTCTCAACGAGCCTTTGAGACAGATAGGGTGTTCTTCCTCAGCGAGCCCTTGAGACAGATAGGGTCTTCTTTCTCAACGAGCCTTTGAGACAAATAGGGTGTTCTTTCTCAACGAGCCTTTGAGACAAATAGGGTGTTCTTTCTCAACGAGCCTTTGAGACAGATAGGGTGTTCTTTCTCAACGAGCCTTTGAGACAGATAGGGTGTTCTTCCTCAACGAGCCCTTGAGACAGATAGGGTCTTCTTTCTCAACGAGCCTTTGAGACAAATAGGGTGTTCTTCCTCAACGAGCCCTTGAGACAGATAGGGTCTTCTTTCTCAACGAGCCTTTGAGACAGATAGGGTGTTCTTCCTCAACGAGCCTTTGAGACAAATAGGGTGTTCTTCCTCAACGAGCCTTTGAGACAAATAGGGTGTTCTTCCTCAACGAGCCCTTGAGACAGATAGGGTCTTCTTTCTCAACGAGCCTTTGAGACAAATAGGGTGTTCTTCCTCAACGAGCCCTTGAGACAGATAGGGTCTTCTTTCTCAACGAGCCTTTGAGACAAATAGGGTGTTCTTCCTCAACGAGCCCTTGAGACAGATAGGGTCTTCTTTCTCAACGAGCCTTTGAGACAAATAGGGTGTTCTTCCTCAACGAGCCCTTGAGACAGATAGGGTCTTCTTTCTCAA